TTTTGAACATACTTAATTCTTCCTTTTGAAGGAATGGTTTCAGAAACACCTGTTCAATGTTCTCATTACAAGAGAATCAGCCATTGTTCCCTTTTTGCTTGTGGCAATTTGTCGGACTTCCACCTAACAGTTATTGGGAAATTATGTAATTAGACAAATCTCAAAAGACTTGCTTATGAGAAGTCAATGAATCTATTCTTCTTTCTCTGTTGTTTTATCAGTCATCCATATCCTGATCTTTTAGTTTTGATTTTCTCTCAGGCCGTGTTCCCCATAATTTTCAACAATTCTCAGTTACAATTACATTGTGAATATACGTATTTCAAAAAGCAAATATAGCACAAGCAGAAGGATTTGCCAACTCCTCACACTGCTCTGAACCTACTCAGATGTTCTGTAATAAAGGTTTTATTTTCTTTCTATCAGATTTTGGCTTTAGAACGCAGTTTTCAGTTGTTTTATTCAATCTTTTCAAGAGGCAAACTTCATCCTAAACATGCCTGGAGCCTAGAATTGGGGTAAAATTACCACACAGAGAGTTGATGAGACAACAAAGGGAACAATGGGCAAAACATGATCTACACGTATGTCTCACTAGGGCACCTGTTTTGAGCAGGGTATAATAATACTACTAATAATAACAAAACCAGCTTTACTAATGAAACAAATGCAGTTATGCCAGTGCAGGAGAACTTCACTGTCTGGCTCTACTTCACCCAGCAATGCTACCGGGGAGGAGGAGGAGGCTGGGGTGGATTTAAACCAGCCACAGCCCATTACAGAGGAAAGTTACGGAAATGAGTTAGGAACAGGCTCTACCCAGGGCTACTTTAGAGCAGGAAGGGTGAAGACTCTCCATTGGAAAGCTTGGGACTTGCTACAAACACAAGAGCACGGATGAGGAACTGAAACTGTGTATTAACATACGTGCTAACTACCACAGCATAGTCCCTAAATTCCCTTTCCTTTGTGCATTCCTTCCACCACTCCCACAGCACCGCTGTTACAGAGGAAACCACCTTCACTGATGTAGGCTGTGACACCAGAGAGACTGCCCAACTATGCTTCACACAAAATAGGTGTACTTGCACAAAAATAGCTGAGAGTTCAGCTGTCTTTCAGAGTCCATTGTTGCAGTGGTTTCAGGAGTACATTTTGAAGCATTTTCATCAACTCAATTTTGCAGTCACAAAACAAAGGGAAATTCCTCTCTCATTGTCAGCTGTGTGGACCAAACACCACAGCTTGGTGCAAAGTCCGAGAATCTTGCAGCCCACCCACACAGGCAGATTGCTGCCCCATGAGTTAGCAGTTATTTCTTCAGTCAGCTGCTGAATTAAAAAAAACCTATAATGTGTTTCTAATTTCTTGAGAGACTGAGACAGAAATACTTTTGTTCTGCCTATTTTCCTGGGGAAAAAAAAGACATGAGATTTATGTGCAGCATAACAGAATGAAAAACTGGAGGATGATTTATTTGATTTTTTAATTTTTCTTCATTACTTTATTACTTCATGGAAACAGTATATTTTAAGGATATGTTTAATCATACTGGAAGTCAATAGGCATCAGTCCTTAAAAAGCTGGCTAGGGTTGAGGCTGCACAAGTGAAGGGAGAGAGAGACTTATAAAGCCTAAAATGTCCAGGAGGTGGTGGAGCCTCAGAAGCTCAGTTTCCAGAGGTAGGGTGAAATTTCAACATGGTTATATTTTCCCATCATTTAGTACTGCCAGTGGCTCCCCTTCCTTGAATGTGGGTACTCACCCCTACTTCCGGAGGGTCGGGAAGCCAGCCCAGTTCACCCTGTGCAGTGCTTGTGTCAAGTAGATCCACTGAAAACCAGAAGAGAGGGGGAAAAAAAAAAATCGATGACCCAACTCATATGGCCCACAGAATGGTTTCATCCTTATTTTGTCAAAGAAGGTAAAGCCTGCATTTCCTCTCTCAAACCCCCCTCATCCTTTGAAATCTTTCACTTCAAAAAGCATGACTAGAGAAGGGCAGTTAGTCAGGAGTTAAAAGTTTTACTAATATATGAGACCCCCCCTTCTATACACATCCCAAAAAACACAACCCTGACAAATTTTATCACTTCCTAAAACTGTCCCAAAAAGGAAGAAGGAGGCTGAAGCCTATTCAGATGGGTACCCGGCATTAGCAGCTGAACACATATTTCCTTCAAATAGGAAGGCAGCAAACTAAATGGCTGAAGAGTAAGGCAATCAAATAAATTACCAACACAAAAGATCAATCAGTGTCGCCTGGAGGGACTATTCAGTACTTGAAACACGGTGGGAAAGTACAGAGGTAGTGTGAAGTTGTAGAAGGGACTTTCCATTGTCACAGTACCCAAAAGCCCGGAGATACACCACTTGTGCAAATTGATGAGCCTCCCACGTCTAACTCGGACTGTCCACCAGCTGACGATGGCCTAGAAATCGTTTAACCCTCTCCCAGCCTTCCGACTTTTTTGGCCGGGACATCAAGAGAGTAATGGTTCCGGCCACAGCATGGCCACCTCCTGCGGAATTGCACGGCTACTCTAAGCCTCGCTGCTGGAGTCGTGTGACAAAGGAGAAATTATTGGTATGTTCATTTTTAGCCCTCAAAGGAATTTGAAAACGTGATCACAGTTTGGCCTAAAGTCTTGATCTGAAGACACGTTTAAAAATGTGTCACTTTGTAGGCAAACATTGAGAAAGCAGAGGAGTTGGAATAAGACACACTGTGGGATGTGCGGCTTCGTGCCTGCCTTTGGGTCTGCCGGTGCTGCCAGAACAGAATACTGGTTTCTGTGCACCTATCGAAGTCCCAGCTTGGGAGCATAAGAAACAGAAAAATTCTTTGGATTCCCTTTTAGATTCCTGTGGGTGTATTCAGAGGGGTCGTTTCTGAACATCTCAGAAAAGAATCTGGGGGTGAAAGGTAGGAGTGGGGAGATTTTTAAAGGGCATTTAAATAACCAGGTTTCCTCCCCCTCATCTGACTCTTTTACAAATACTCCCTGCCAACTATAAGTAATAGTGTAAAGTGCAGATCAGCAAGAGTCCTGTGGAATGAGGAAGCAGGCTGTGGGCCCAGAATCAGAGATAAGAGGGATTGCGCTGCTGTTCTCACCTCTGAAACACCCTTTCAGGATTGGGAGAAGGGAAAAGTAGGAATCCAGGTTTTGCAAGTTCCAAGTGCTCACAGTATGGTCATATGGCAAAACCTTCCTAGCCACAGACTCCCTGTCCAGACAACGCTCCTCATTCACTTCCCCTCTACTCTCAATCTCTTTATTTGAGATAATATTCTTTTGTGGTTAGCTCCAAAAGCTCAGAGGGTGAGGTAGCCTGTCCTGCCAGAACCATCACCCAATTAAAATCTATGCCGTCCCATCCTCTTCAGGAGTGAAGCAGCGATGTGGAAGTGAGAGGGGCTGCATGGCAAGCTCTAGCAGAGCAAGGGTAAAGGAACTTGGAAGTGGCTGGGACAGGAACCTGGCAGAGCCCTTGTGCCATGCTCTGCACCGCCAGCAATGGCAGCTCCTTCAGCTGCTGAGTGCCCACTGGAGGGACAAAGCCCACTGGCAAGAAGTACTTCTCAAAGTGAATCCCACAACAGGGATTCTCCATGGAAAGGATGATTGTGTCAATAAGACTACAGAAGCAGAGGAATAAAGTCCTCAGGGACTACTAACTCTCTGGTCCACATCTTTGCTGCTAGGAGTCTCACGTGGCTGCCCAGCCACAGGGGAGGAGGTGTCCCCAAAAAGAAGAAAGGCTTCAGATAAGAGAGGACGCCTGGAAAATGAGCTGTTTCCCTGAGAGACAAGTTAAGGAAGAGTGGATCACAGACACAGTCCAAATGAGATGGCTGAGATAGGGGATGAGCGGGCAGACAGGTCCCTGACTGTTACTGCCAACTACTGGTCACACTTCTGGAAACCGAAGCCTGCGCGGAGCCACCCGGTATTACTTCTCACCCAGGCTGGCCTTCTCCACTGCTTCTGCCAGCTGCATCCACAACCTAGCTGGATCCTTAGTGGAAACGGGCTTGTCAAGGACCCTTTAAAAGATCACTGAGCACTCGCAAATTCAGAGCTGAGTCCATGGCTGAACTGCCCGTTATGACAAAGTCCCCTCAGTCCAAAGCCTGGAGAAGCAAAGGAGGATTGTCCTTGGGATGGAAAAGCCCCAACACCTCTTGCTGTACAAAACAGAAGTCCCTAGCAGGAACTGACTGCAGGAGGAGGTAGGAAACAGAGATTTACACTTCCCTCACCTCTCTATTAAAAAGTTACCATTCTCCCATGTTTCATAACCACTGTGCAACTACCAAGATGGAAGGGAAAAAAAAAATCACTACATCTAATAAAAGGGAGTAAGTGGTACAGGGAAGGGAAACATGGAAGCCTAAAGAGGTGGAAGAGGAAATTTTAAAGCCCAGCTCCTTTCAGGAGTAGGGTAGATAAAAGACTCCGATAAAATGACTGTCCGCTTGCTCACAAGGGTTAACTCCTAGGAGGGCTTCCTCAGGAAACTGCGGGGGTGTTGCCAGAGGAGGGGAGAAACTTTCTGAGTTTGTGTTTAAACTTGTTATCTGCAAGGCCCGTGTTTGAGGGGAACAGGGGCAGAATTCTCTTGGATCACTGGATATGCCGAGGCGTTTGTGCTTCAGCTAGGAGGAGGTGAAGGAGGGCGAGAACATACCTGGGCTCGCTCACTGAGCCACCGAGATTCGGATGGGATTTGCCAGGCCGTGGTCCCCCCACACCCGGCTGCCCTTCCCTGACCCCCCAGTCGCTCGGAGGTGTCCCTGGAGCCCCAGACGCGTGGGCCGGGTCCCGTTCCCTGCCCCTCAGCGAGGTCGCTCTCGCTGCGCGCCCCAGCCCAGCCCTCCAGGCAGAGGGACCGGCGGGTCCCACGCTTACCTTCTTTGCCGTGCGCCTCGGCAGGAAGGAGAGCCCAGAGGAGAAGGAGCCCGAGGGAGAGCTCCATCCCGCCGCTGCAGGCGCTCAGCCCCGGGCTGGCCGGAGAGGGGGCCCGGCTCGCAGCCCCCGCCGGCTCCGGCCTCCGTGCCCGGGCTGCTGCGGGCAGCGCATGGGCCTCTCCCGCAGGCTCCCGAGCGCGGCGCGCACGTTGCACAAGCCTGGCCCACGGTGGTGATGAAAGATCAAGGCGAGTGGGTGGAGAAGCCTTACTGCCTTTACCTGTTCTAAGGGGCTGGTCACAGACTTCCCATCTGGCAGGCAAATAAACCCACCTTAAAGGCAGCCACCTCTTTCCTGGGAGCCTCCCTCCACCTTTGCTCCACTCCCGTAAGAGGCTCCCGATTGCCACCTCCTGGGCAGCCCTCGCCATCCTTCCCGATCCCGCCGGCCCCGGCAATGGCTTTAAACTGAAATTTTAGGAAGAAATTCTTCAGGGTGGTGAAGTACTGGGACAGGTTGCCCAGGGAGGTTGTTGCTATTCCATCCCTGTAAGTGTTCAAGGCCAGGCTGGATGGGACCCTGGAGCAATCTGGTCTAGTGGAAGGTCTAGTTCCAACCCTCATGGCAGGACAGTTGGAAATAGATGATCTTCCAGGTCTCTTCCAAGCCAAACCATTCTGTGATTCTGTGATCTGTGATAATGGGGCTAAAACCACTGAGCCATCCTCACTGAATATGTTTAGGAAATCCATCTGTACACAGGGACAGCAGACCATTTAGTTCCCAAGTATGTCACAGAGTGACAGCAATACCACTTTGTCTGGCAGAATTACTGATTTTCATTTAGTATGCTCCTCAGCATTGATGGACAGTGCCTGCTTCTCAGAAAAAAAAAAAATCATGGAAGAGGAAGCAAACTAGAAGAATTCTTTCTCTGTGTAGGAAGACCTCATGGGACTTTTCGTTTTCTTCCTGAGGGACATAAATACAAAAGAACTTGCCTTTGCTCTGTCTCTTCTGGCATTCATCAAGGATGTTACTCCCACCCATACACAGCTATTACACCCCTCCCCGTAAAATACAGATGGTATTATTACACTTACACTTGCTGTACGGCTGCATTCCTCCTGCTCTCTTCCTCCTCCTCCTCCCCAAGGAAGGCTAAAGAAAGGACCTTGTCAGGTTGCTTAGAGAGGCTGGGGGATCTCCACCCTTGGACATGTTCCAGATTTGCTGGGACACAGCCATGAACAACATATCCACCTCTGGAGTCAGCCCTGCTCTGAGCAGCATTTGGGACTGTGGACTCTCTGAGGGCCTTGGCATCTAATCTTTCAGTGAATTCTGTGATTTTCAAACTATACATCCTGAGAAAGCAAGATCTATCCCAAGATGTCTGAACGTAGACAAGAGACATTTCAGAACAAATGGTTACAATACTAAGCTTATAATTTTACATAGCACATTAAGTAAAATATAGGTGCAAATAATTCACATGTAAATGGCATTCAGTGTAGTTGTACCTTAAATTTGTACAGTTTAATCCTGTCTAAAGTTCTCTGTATCAGTCCACAGTGCTAAGTCAAACTGTTATGCCTATGTTTCCCCCACAATTGAATGACTCCCATTGCAGGAGTCATATAAGATTTTTTGGTCTACAACCCATACCTTGAGTTTGTGCTGGGGGAATGTGTCCATTTAGGGCTTCATTTGTACAGTTCTGTCCCTTCTTCAGTATGTGATGTAGCAGTGGGGCAGACAGACCCACAGCTAACTTTTCTGTGATGGGACGACTTAGGCAAGGCCTAAATAGAAATGAAATGGGGAAGAACCATTTGCAGCTGGAGGATAAGGCTCTAGGGAAGGCCAGGAGCTCATGTTCTTCCTCAGGAGAAAAAAAAAAATCCATGACGATGCCTGACATTTGGCTCCTCAGGACTTACAGGGTTTGTATCTGTAAAATCCCAGAAGTGACAAGTTGTGGAGTGAAGAGCCTTGGGATGTTCTCTCTCCATGTCCCTGGTGTGCAGATACTCAGAACATTTGATCCAAGGAGTAGGCAGGAAGCAATTTACTTGAGCTTACTGGAGAATGTGGCCTAAAAAAAAATTACTTTCTTTTTCTCCCCCTTGTAGTGTTGGCAGAAGGGGATCAGCAATTGGGGTTTTCCACATAATGGTGGTCAGAAATCGTATTTATTGCTTTGTGGTTTTTCAGATTGGAGATCATCTAGTGTAGCTCACAGTCAGAATGTGTACAATGATAGTGAAACAAAATACAGTCTAATGTTTCAGCAGCATCAGGATCTGAAGAAAATCTATAAACAACTGGGAGCATACAGAAGTAAAAACACAAAAAGCCTGGAACTTTGCTGATACCTGTAAAAGCTCTGCCAGATTGTTTTCCCATGTGTCCTCTGCACCAAAATGCAGATCCAAAGGGAAAAAGAGGGAATATACACAGAGCCTGTAGCCAGAAGAGTGAGTACCACACATGCATTTTCATACTCAGTATTTCATTGACATTGTTATTCTGTTTGTGCATCACAAGCTTGGATTTTGTCTTTGGATATTGTTGGGCAAAATTAATTCTCTGACTGTAAAAAAACACAAACAAAACCACCACCAACAAACAACTAAAACAAACAAATCCCAAACAAACAACAAATAAGCAAAACTGAAAGAACTTAATTAAAAAAAATCTTTTTATGTCTTGTTTACAATCATATTCTATGATTCTATGATTTACATCCCCACAGCCTCTCACTCTCATGGCTTCCCAGTGAGCATCCCATCTCTGGCATGCGTCTTGGTGTTAAGAAGGTAACTTCATCTTTTCAGCTCACTCTTAGCACATCTTTGGGCTGATTCTCATCCTCTCTTTCTTGGCCCTCTGAGTATTTCTGAATTGCAGGGCACATTTTTTTCCTTCCATTTCCCAGAATCTTGTTTTGAGTATCACTGTGATTAGGTATCCAGCTGGAAAATATCACCACACAACACACCTGGGCCTTCCTCCTACAGCTATGTGGGCTTGTGGTGAGGGAAGTGAGGAAGAAGGCTGTGCACCAGGTTTTGTTTTAATGTGCTCTTGGGAAAGTCAAAGGGCACTCCCAAGGCTGAGTTGGGACGTGCTTCTTTTGAACTGCAGTTCAGACAGAACTGTCTCATATGATTCTTATAAATTGTTTACTCTGTTTGCTGCTCCTCATATTTTAGAATTAGTTTCACCATTGTGCTGTTAAATGTCCTTACAGATGATGAATTAAACAGAACCTAGAAATAATCTCTGGAGTTTCTCACTTGATATCACTTCCCTAATTATTAAAGCATCCCTTTGGTACTGATAACTTGAATCTGTGCATCCTGAACTGGCTTTGAGTAAGGTATCCTAGTAACATAGATGTATAGGTCTTCCAGAGGCCTCAAATCCATTTTGCAACAAGTCCCACCTCAATCTAAAGGAGGAACTTGCTCTTGTTCTGTGGTCTCTGATTCACTCCTTTTATCTACTATTTCTACAACTCTAGGAGTAATCTATGACAGCTCTGTAGAGCCTAAGATGTGCTCTGTTTCAAAGTCTTATTCCCTGCAGAAAATGTGTGCTTTCTGTCCCTTATTCTCACCTGCATGACCACAGTTAAATATTCTAGTGTTTTCATGTTTATCTTAGAAGGTTTTCTGGCTCTACTCCACCAGCAATTATCTTAGAGTATTTCAAACAGCTGACTTCAGACTGTTTTTCTGCAGAAAACAGACTCCAACCATTTAGACTCCTACCACATGTTTCATTCAGAAACTCAGATTTTATTTTAAATAAATATTTTAAACTCCTATGAAGTAGTACAAGTAGCTCCTCTGGATCAACATAGCAGCCACCCCTGTGTTAGAGACCTGAGGACCTGACTGCACAAGTAGTCAAGCTGGTTATCTTTCTCCCTTGAGAAGAAGAACAAGGGCAAGGGAATGAATGAAGCTGATAGAGACAAGGCGCAGATCTGAGTTTTCATACACAGAAGAAGCAGGAGACACTCCCTTATTCTTCCTCACATATGTGAGATAAGCACCCTTGGAGATGTAAAAGCTTTGCCTGAAAGGCCCTGGGCAACCTGACACGGTTTTGGTGTTAACCCTGCAGTGAGCAGGTATTTGGGCTAAAGGCCTCCAGTCATCCCTCCCCACATCAATCTTTTGCTCATTCAGTTCATCATTGGTAGATGAGCAATCACATTTTCTTCCACCAGGAATGTAGGCAGTTCCTTACTTGGGCTCCAGTCAAAACAGGAGGGTAACTTCCCAAATGCATTTTCCACCTAGCAGAGATGTCATACAATACATGGACTAGAAGAAGCCCAGTATTCCTGAATAAAACTCCATTTACTTGATCATCAGCAGCTCACTAAACAGGTGTTTCTCTGCGTGCTGATGCTCTGGCTGGATACCTGATCAGGCAGGGAAGCGTGTTTACACTGCTGCCTGAACTGCAGGCTCGCTGGCTTTTGTCTCTGGATAAGCTTATCCTGCCATGGTCTGCCATGCTCTTATTTGGCTTGCAAAACAGGGCTCAGTTAAATTATTACACCATCCTGCAAATGAGGGGGAGGACCTTGCTTTTCGGCAGAAATTACCTGAGACAACTCTCTTGCCGTGTTAGCCCGGCTCGGCTCCCCCTCGTGGTCCAGCGGCTGCGGAGCCCCAGAGGTCCCGGTGCCTGCGGAGAGCAGCCAAACAGGGCTTCGCCTATGCTGAGGCGTGACATTTTGTACAGACAAGAGGAATCCAATGAAAAGCAAGTCATAATAGAATCTGATTCATTCTCCTAATCATAAAACTTCCCTAAGTGGTACAAATCTGGGTCACAGGAGTTAGTTACTTTCTATTATACGGTTGCAGCACATTATATACTTAGAAATTCAAAAAGTGCAGTTCTACACTTAGCACTTCTCTTTGAGGGCACGTTCTTCCTGGGTATCTTTAAAGACATCTATTCATCTTGGTGGCATTAAGATTTCATGAGAGGATTCAGTTTCTCCTTGAGCATTACTAACACAACAGCATATGTGTGATAAACATAAAATCTGACCCAGATAAATTTGATTTCTAGTAGAGAAATGAACTGATTACTTATTTCTAGTAGAGAAATGCTGATGACTTATTCCACTACCTTATAGAAAAGTGAGATTATAATATTTTTAGTAGGTGAATCAAAGCTCAAAATATAGCAATAGTAACCTCTGCATGGCAAACACATACCTCTCTGTAATTTTTTCATATATTCTAGCTGTTCTTCCCCACTCCTGGATTAATTATGTTCAAGCATGGAAATATCTCACTGACGCTGAAAAGGCTTTACTAAAATACAAGAAAAAGCCATATCACTAGTCATTTAGATAGTGTGATTTTAAATTATTTTTTTGCTCTTACAGGTGAATGTGTAAGTTAATAAATCTTTTATTTTCTGGGTGTTTATAACAAATGTTTTAAAGCTTTTATGTATGTTTCTAATATGTTTTTTCAAGATATTTTTATGGTCTTCTTCTTAACAAATTACAGTTGCCTCCACAATCTAAACACAAGAAGCTTGTCCATATTTGTTGCTGTTGTAGCTTGATCCTGATGTTGAAGAGTTGCTGTCCAGTGCAGAAACGAAATAGTTTCCACTGTTCACTGTGTTAGCAAGCAGCATTCTCCCTGAGAGGTTTCAAGGTGGGCATCAGGAGAAGGTATTTGAAGCAGACACCTTGCAGGTGGAAAGAGGGCATTGAATGTGTTAACATCTTCCCAACTCACTGCCAACTCTATTCTCAGTTCAGCCTCCCACTTGATTTTTTGAAACTTGAACTCATTAACTAAATCAAAACATGAAAACTGAAATGAATGCTGAGAGCAACTGTACAGCAAAACCACAATGAAACACTACACAGATTTTAGGAGACCTGATTTTCAGCAGTGACTAGGCTAGAGGCCATATGCTGCTGAGCCATCAGGTCTTCCCTCAACTTTACATGCCAATTTGTAGAACCAGACGGTCTTACATCTTTACATACCAATTTGTAAAACCAGCCTGTCTCATATTCTTGCAGGTAAAGCCAAAGGTACACTCTGGGTGGGTATCGACCTTCCCATTCTCACTGTTTCCTGGAATTGCTTGGAAGACAACTGAGCACAATAGGATCTTTAGAGCCAAGAGCTTTAGGTTAGGGATACAGTGCTGGAATTATTAATAACACCTTCAGTCAGCTTTTTGATGTGGAGGTACTTGTAGGGCAAGGTGAAACTAATTCTGAAACCAACCAGCTGGCAGGAGCTTCACCTCAATTTTCAGCTCCACTTTGGTCTCCTGATTAGTTTTTGTCCTCTGCTCCTGGTTGCTTCCTGAAACAATCCATTTAAAGGAAACTTAAGGCCTGTGCAACAGCTGAGTTGATAAATAAAAAGCTTGTAGAAATGTTTAATTCTGTGGAGAAATGGCAGATTATTTAAGTATATTTCTTTCCCATTAGCTTGTTTATGGGGGTGTGGACTATATTTGTTTTATATCATACAGGAAATTATCAGATTTTATATGCTGAATACATAATTTCATATAATAGTAAAAAACAATCTCAGGAAGGACTTGTCTCTCTTCTTTTGTAAATCTTCTATCTATAAATATCTGCAAGAGAAACTCCTATAGCATTCTAGCCTTTATAATAGTAAAATATGTAAATAGTAAAATAATAACAGTAAATATTGCTCCTTTGGCATGTTCATAATAAACATCAAAAACAGAGGCCTTTTCTTAATAAAGAAAATCTTTGACAACTTTTCACCCTCATGATATTAACATCTATTTTCTAGGTTTACTACTAAGCCCACAGCCATTTAATTTTACAACTCCATTATTCTAAATAGCTGTATTAATTTCACCTTCCTGCTTCAGATCAAAGGATAAAAAACATCTCTTTGGGTAAATATAGGATTATTTGCAGGTTTTCTAAGCTTTTAAGGAATGTGAAAGAAAGAAAGGCTGGTGGACACACTTTCCATATAAGCCAAAACAGACAGAATGTGATAACATGACTTTGTCAAGGGAAGATAAATACACTGAAATTTCTTCCTAGCTCTTAAAACTGGACTTTTGACAAATTTTCAACTTTCCTTACCCATAATGGAAACAAATCCCTTCTTACCCATAATAGAAACAAATCCCCTAAATAAACTTTTTGTATTTATACTCCTATGAAAATAAGAATTTTCTTTTAATGCAAGCGCATTTATATCTTTTAGGAGATTGATTATTTATAGGAACAACTTTTAGGAAATGTCTTACCTGGGTTGCCAGCAAAGCATAATAGTGTGCAAAAAACCCCAAAACAAAACAAAAAACCCCAACCAAACAAAAACCAACCAACCAAAAACAAACAAACAAAAAACACCAAAGCATTTTTCTCTGGTTTCTCTCTATACTGAAAGGCAGGTTTCACTTGTATCCTCCCAGTATCACTGGTACTGGTAGTAGCTCTCAAGGAGCCACTTTGAAGTATCTCCTTGAGTGGAGAAACCTTTCAGTGGCATGCACCATTCAAGGTGCCGGACCTTGAGTATCCTGGATGCTGCCCCAAGTCTGGGCCATCATCCTCCAAACTCTCTTCATTTTTGAGAATGTGGACAGCTGATCACTGATGTGATCTTACCGGTTGAACTCTTACAGGCTGGGCTCTGGTGCTGCACCATTGATAAGATCTGTGTTCTCACACAGTGCTTGCTCAGGGCCGCCTTTACGAAATTAATTGCAAAGTTGAATACACTGTTTTTATGGCTGTGTAAACCATGAAGTGATTCTTAGTGATGTCCTAATTGGTTTCACTGGAAAACTTCATGACATCTATGTTTGCCACATCTCAGGTCTCTGCATTCCTCTTCCAAGAATGGCCAAGACCATTTGTGAAATGCAGGTAGCCAGCTGTACTCGTTCACTGGCGAGTCTTGAATCCCTGCCCAACCCAAAAAACTACAACACCCATGGAAAGATCTTTTCCATACCCATCTTTGGTTGGAGGTGGAATGTGCACTTGTCAAAATCCGCACTGCCTGACTGGATCCTGCTGTTCCCTAGGAAGCTCTGAAAAGAACTTAGAAATCACCTTTTTAAAATTATTATTTGTGCTCATGCCTACATCAGGGACGGTGGATACTTCGCTTGAGCGATCTCCAGCTCTCAGCACACAGTGTGCTGAGTCAACAGGACTGAAACTGCCACTTGTTGAGTGGAAAAGGGACCTCAGGCAGGTTAAAAGATAACATTTTAGAAAGAAGATGTGTCTGATATCTCATACATTACTGCTGCTCTTACCTCATGCTCTCTACAGATCTATACAGTGCTCAATACAGCTGGCATGGGGTGGGGGGAAAGGGTGCTGTGAATGGGTGTGGGAATACTGATGGGGCTAGTCTTGGACTAGTGGGTGTGGGAATACTGGTGAGGATGGTCTTGGACTATGGGATATCTCCTCACTCTGTTCATCTGCAAAACATTGGGTAGAGAAAGTGTCTTCTCAGAAAGCCTCCACTGCTTGTTGTACTTCCCACATGTATCTCAGAATGAAAGAGCTGGGGGTCTAACCTGGCTGCTGTTTAGGTCACGTCATCCCTTCCAGAGGCATCATCTTATATCCCTGGGGTGGGGAGAGGTCTGCCCAGGTGCCTCCGTTCTGCAGTGGTTGACGAGGAACGTCCTGGTTCAGGGGACAGCCCTGCTGTCTCCCCACAGCAGGTCACAGTTATCTCTCTGCTATCCCATGCCCACAGCTGCCAGAAATATGTGAGGGTCTCTACCAAGGCTTTGAAGAGTATTATAAACCTCAGTGTCTTTCTGTCCTTCAGTTTTATTGCCAAGCTTCTGGACATATCAGTACCTCCTAGACGGCAGGTTAGAAACCTCTGATGCAGAGTCCTGCTAATCTCAAGAAGGACCTCTGGCCATTTCAAGTCCAGCCAACTGCTTGCAGCAGGATTAACTTCAAAGCCTCATTTGACTTGACAGGATTTAGAAGGGTTGCTTCCTATTTTCCTGTGCTCATTACAGTTACTTAATAGTATTTGATTCAAAGTACTTCTCTAATGTAATTCTGAAGTACTTCTCTATTAGTACATAGTGTTCTCTCATTGAGACCCTCCCCTTCTCACTTTTGGAAGAGCTGGCAGGTGATTAAAATGTTCACTGCAACTTTGATAATTTTAAATAATGCAGCTAAGTGTTTGCCCACAGAGTAATTAGGTATTCATTGACTTGAGAGCCAATATTCTGTGTTAATGTTTTAGTCAGGCTAGACTCTGAACTTGAAGACAGCTTTTAATGTCAATTTTAAATTCCACTTTTCTCTTTTGTCAGAAGGCTCCAAGTTAACTTCCTTAGTTACGGTGCCAATTTCTTACATTTGTCACATCCACTTACCATAATTTTTAATGATTGTAGCCCAGAGAAAGCAAATACCACTCTGCTCTCTCAATCTGCCCAGCAAGAGAGTTGAGGGCAGCTGGGGTGATGAAATTCCTTTTGATTAGACAGAGGAACAGAAGCAAACATTTTAATTTTTTCTCAACTATTTTCTGTGTAGAACGTGGGTTCTGAATCATAGGGTCTCTATGACCTTTAAAGAGACACGGAGGAGGGAAGTATTAAATAAAATAATTAAGTTGGTTCTTTCCCCCCTTCTCCCTGGCCAAAATTGATCTTCTCTAATTTGTCTGAATCATGCTGTTCCTCCTACACATAGGAAACTCACAAAATACTCTGCACCTTTCAGACTCTTACATCTGCTGCAGTCCAGCCTGTGCTGTAACTCTCACTGGTTTTGCTGAAGAAATTGCAGTAACTGTGGCAGCAGTATTATTACTTTTACAATTACAGATCTCAACACTCCCCAGGCGTTCATATTTATATGGTGCAGTCTTTGCTGGTGAAAGTCACATGATAAAACAAGTATCTTAGCCTTTGTGTTGCCATAGGAACAATCCAAACCTAAAGCATCTCCCTGTAAAAGGAAATATGTTTTGCTTCCTGCAGAACAGGCATAGCGAAGTCGTACTCTTGTTAGACTAATGGCATTTTAACTTTCAATATGTAGAATAATTCAAGGTTAGATGAGTTTACACTAACAATCTTTCCATTTGTCATGTGATGCCAGAGTGCAGCCTTCTACTAAATTTGGAGAAAACCACAGCTATTTTACCCTTCTTCCTAGCCATGGACTTTCTTCTTCTAACCTTCCTTTCAGCCCCTACAGATTTCCTGTGCTGCTAAACTTACCAGTCTAAAATTTGAACTGACTACCCAATTTCTACTGTCATCTTGATAGAAAAATAACAAAATTAATATTGTAGTATTGGTTTATTAGCTTTAGAAATTTTTTTGTTGATCTTCTGATTGTGCTGGGATGACTGTGAATGTGAGTCTGAATATGTATGTGATCAGAGAAGCGAGACCAGTGACTGATCCAAGCTCTTCACCCTCACAACTCACTAAAGCATTTTCCTTTAGATCAAGCGTTATGTTGGGGATTTTTTTGAGCAGAGATATCTTTTTCTCATAAACGTAGTGATGCATGTAGAATTCTGCCTGGATATTTGCCTTAGGGAAGCCTATGGTGGTCTGGTTATGGGTCTGTTTTCCAGCAAGCATGTGTTTTTTCTACTAAAATTTACCACATACACACACATCACAACTCCTATAGTATCCCAGTTCACCTATTTTCTTCCTTCTCAGCATTTTCCTGAGGATCCCTCTGATTTCCTTGTTCCTCAGGCTGTAAATGAGGGGATACATTAAAGGAGTAATGTTGGTGTAGACCAGAGACACCACCTTGTCCCGAGCCGGTGAGTAACTGGACGTGGGACGAATGTAGATGAAGGTGGCACAGCCGTAATGCAGTAAGGTGACGGCCAGGTGTGAAATGCAGGTGGAAAAGGCCTTGCCCCTTCCCGCAGGGGAGGCGACGCCTAACAAAGCCACAGCAATGCAGAGGTACGAGGCCAGGATTAGCAGGAAGGGGAGCAGCAGCAGGAGCACGCAGGCCGCCAGCGCGGGCAGCTGGGCCGCGTAGCCCTGCGCGCAGGCCAGGCGCAGCACGGCAGGCACATCGCAGAAGAAGTGCTCGATGCGGCGGGGCTGACAGAAAGGCAGGCGGAACACAGCCACCGTCAGGCCCAGGGCGACGGCGAAGCCTCCCAGGGCGCAGGCCAGAGCCAGGCGGAGGCACAGCCCCTCGCCCATCAGGGCCGCGTAGCGCAGGGGCTGGCACACGGCCACGTAGCGGTCGTAGGACATGGCTGCCAGCAGGAAGCACTCGGCCCCGCCGAGGGCCACGAAGAGCTGCATCTGTGCGGCACAGCCCAGCGCGGAGATGGCGCTGCCGCCCGCCGCCAGGCCGAGCAGCGCCTTGGGCGCGATGACTAAAGTGTAGCAGAGCTCCACGGCAGAGAGTTGGCCGAGGAAGAAGAGCATGGGGGGACGTGAGGGCTCCATCACCACCGCCATGAAGATCATCATATTCCCTGCCAGTGTGACCAAATGGACAGTGAGAAAGGTAAGGAAGAGCAGGACTCGCAGATGGAGCAGCTCGGAGAAGCCGAGCAGGAGGAACTCCGTGGTTGCACCAGTGCTCACGTTGTCCCACTCCATGCAGCCCTCACATGGCATCTGCAGGAGAGAAACAGAAGGGAAACAGCTGAATTCGATGTCTGGCAATCAATTCCATATTGTTGCCACATTTCTCTTCACAGAGAAAAGCAAGGCACAATTCTTCCCAGGAATATTTCTGGGATTCACATTCTCTGAACATCAGAGAAAGAGAAAACACAATTCTTATCACTTGCTGTGCCTGTGTTGTGCTAAAGTGGAATGCAATATGGAGATTGTTTACCCAGAGAGGGGATGTTTTGTTTCCTTGGCCTGTCAGGGCCAGGAGAGTGTGTGTGTCAGACTGTCACGAGACAATCACGAGAGAATGAGAGATGAGCGCAGTTCTGTGCAGTTGTGAGCAAGGGTGAGTGCACGGCAGATTCTGTTTAGATGCAATGTATATAGTATAGCATAATAAAGTAATTATTTAGCCTTCTGATGATGGAGTCAGATGCATCATTCTCTCTCCCCTCGTCGGAGTCACCCTTGATTTGTAATAGGAAATAATGCTGCATTACTGTAGAACCAGTGTAGTAAAGCTTATTGGGTAGGGAGGAAGGTGATTTCATCCTTCCTTTCATCAAAAAGGAAAAAAAATCCCAAACTTCAAATGTGATTTCACTCGGCCACATTCAGCACAATCTCAGGCCCAAACTCTCACAACCACCAAGGTTCTTGTGCCCAAACAATCTGCCTAGGATTCTTTGTCATGACATTGGTGACAAAGACTGTCAGTCGTTGGGTCTTCATCACTTCTTCTGAGTTGTTCTGGGATTTGTGACTATGTGTAGGCTTTCAACATGCATTAGGTGCCCTTTAGGAGTTGATTAGTCTGACTGAGCTGTCCTGCTTTTGAGAGTCTTCACTGGACTCTCCCTCCTGATCTGTGTGTCCTAAGAAGCTGCAGACAGAGGTGTTTGGGTCTTGACAACTGTCAGCTCCTAGGTCTCACAGAAGCTGCTGCTGTACCTTGTGCTTCTATTCCCAGGCACACCTGTTAATCCTCTAGTCCCAGCACTTCTGCAGTCCCCTACATCTGTGTCAGAGATGTGCAAGGACAACCAGACAGTGAGCTGGAGCTTCTGTGCTGCAGCCTGACTCCCATTAGTGGGAATTTGAGGTGTTCTCTGACTGGCTTTTCTCCACAGTGGGTCTGCCATAAGGTCCATACAGAAAGAGGGTTTCAGTGATTAGACATGAGGATTCCAAAATTAGGGCTGACAATTTGGCTGCTTACATCTTTATGCCTGGCTCAGCCCTGTGGCATCAGAGTTAAAGTAAACAAACTTCCACTCTCCAAACCAAAGCTGTCCATGGCAACATACATACTCTATAACAGTTTTTTAAGGAAAACACAATGCTAACATCCTGGACTTTGAGACTGAGATCTTGCTTTTCACAGGAAGAACAGAAATTTCCTAGGAAAGTGGACTGATACAAAGCTACTTAAGCTGAAAAATCCAGGAAAGATAAGAATGTAGAGGGACATACAAAAATAAATTATATATACAGGTCATGGTTGAACAGAGTTCATTGCTGGCATGTTCATCAATACAGTATTAACTACAAGGAATAATTACAACTCTTTCTACACTTTGCCGTAAACAGAAATAAAATCAGAGCTTCCTTGAAGACTTCTGCATATATAAAAGTCCCAGCAATATTTAAGTGTGAAATAAACTGTAAAATTACATGAAATGTCATCAATGACTAATAGAAGGAATGTGAAATTGTTGGAAAAGCTATTAATGGAGATGGGTATTTTCCTGGAAAAAGATGTTTCAAAAAAACTCCAGAAAAAATAATCACTACAGTTGAGGAGGTAAATCTGCTTAAAGCCTACAGACCTTTGCCTTTTTATTTTTTTTTTGCCCCAAGGTTTCCTTGTGATTCAGTATCTCCACAGCATTGGAAACATCTGGGGACTCAGGTAAATGTGAAAATACCCACAATTACATTACCTCAGGTGCAAAACTAGGAATTTAATCAGTCTGCCTTAGAGCATAAGTCAGCAAAATTAACAAGCTAGGAAGAAACTACCATAAACTCCACGACTGTCAGTGAAGACCAAGAAGGAGCTCTTTAGAGAACATAGAGAAAGCAGCAATCCTGCAAAAGCAAGTAAAAATACTACTGCTGGACACAGTTTCCAGCAGTTATAAAGCCATGGTTAACTCCTACATCTACATTTTGCTGCTGCAAGAGCTCCCCAAAAGCAGTTCTAAGCAGCCTGGCTGTAAATCTTTCTTGACACTCCATGCAAGCAGAAGGTGTTCACTGAAAACAGGAGTAAGGGGTTGGTGCATCGCTGTGGACTGAGTCACTGAGGACCACCTGGGGCTCCCCTCACTCCAAGTGCTGAGACTTTAAGAGGATTCTACTAAACACAACAGGGCTAAGAAGTGGGAAAAAACCAGGAGTTTCCCTTCCTTTCATTTGAAGCTGTTTGCTTCAGTGGCAACATACCTTCTCTGGGTTAAAAGGTAAGAAAATAGAGACTTCTTTCTCTTGATGATGTGTGCTGTTCAGTCTGGCTGAGATCCTGTTTCTTGCCCAGTCTGGGCTCCCTCTGGCTGTGGGTGCCCCTAGAACCAACGCTTTCTTTCAGCATCTCATGGCCATCCTCTCTTCTCCTCTGCAGGACCCCGCTCCTTATATGCCATTTGACACAGAAGTCTGTCCTGTTCCCTCCCTGCACCAAGGGCAGGCAGTTCCATTCCTCCCAAGAAAGGGGGGGTTGCAGCTTTTCTGTAAATCGAGCAATAGGATGTAATTGCATCTTCAGAGATGGCAGAGCTGCAGCACACTGCTCTCTTGTTCTCTTCACTGAAGCAATTGAAAGTAGCTGATTATTGAGGGGGCTGCTTTGTACCTGGCATGGCAACATTTTAAGTAACAAAATCATTGCTGCTCTTCTTAAATAAAAATAAAGCTGTGGGTCTTTAGGTGAGTTTAAACCAACTAATACTTAGAGGCAAAGCAAAACAGATATAAAGACTTTAAACACATCTGTGTACGGAGTTTTCACCAGTTCAGGTGACCCATTATCTTTTACTCGCTCAGATGAAATCACCTTTCAGCAATTGAAAGGACTGAGATTATTGGAGCCCAATTTATTTTTATTGCCATTGTTACATTCATTCCTGGCCACTTACACTGAGATAATGAAAGAGATCTGTAGCCTTATGTGAGTAGAAACAAGAAGCACAGTCAAGATTTTTGACTGCTAAAATGGATCTGCTTGGCAGCAATATGTAAATATGGTACCTCAAGATTTTTCACAGGATCTGGTTCAGAAGGAATACTTTCAAAATGTTTTTCTCTCATATTTTCTCTATGTGATATACATTTTTTTTGGAACAAAACTGCCTCATGCATCGATCCAGTCTGGGGCTAATTGTGCTGGGAAAAGTACCTGGGCTTCCAGTGGACAGCAAGAAACAGGAGCCAGGAAGAGGCAACAAAGACCAGCCACTTACTGGGCTGCAATACTAAGAATGTGTCCCGCAGGTGAAGGAAAGTGATTATGCCTCTTTATCTGTCACATGTGTAGCCATATCTGGAACACTGGCAAAGTTGTATTCAAGTATTTTTACTCTATTTTAAACTTGTCATTTAACTTCTTGGAATTACAGCTATGACAGCAGAGTCTATCCTCTTTAGTTTCTCAAGTCACTTCCTTAACTTTCAATTTTTTTTTTTTTCATTTCAATTATTTTCCTTACACTTCTTATTGTTTAAGGTTCTGCAAATAATTCAGGGCACAGAATGTTTTTTAGAGCATTTACAAAACTGAATTCTGAATCTGTCTTGAATTCTAGGTACTGTATAATGCTGAACAAAACAGCAACTCTGAAGCCTCTCTTGGTGACATGTCTCTGCAGCTGTAACAGGAGCAAAATCGAGGTGCTGGTTATTTTCTAATTACACCTAGCAACTTGGGCGGATTATAAATGGAAGCAAATCTTTACAGTGAACTCTATTTTAGTCAAATGCTTTGCAGAGTAAGACTGCTCCCTCTAGTAAACTCTGTCAGAATTTCAGGACACCAGCTGATTAACTCATGCAGAGTTTATCTTTGTGTTACAAAATAAAATTCAGGGGCTCTGGTGCTACTTCTTACTTTGTCCTCTTCTCTGACCCAAACTGCAGGAGAAAATCTGCTGCCTCAGTAACAATGCAAAAATAATTATCAGGAGCTACTTTGACAAGTCTATTCCAGCTTTCTCATCTTCAGATGGTCCTTTCCTCCTGCTGGACTGGAGGTGAACTGAGGTGAGTCAGCACATACCCAGTAACCAATACCACACAGTCAGCAGTTATATACACTAATTTTTTTTTACCATAGTGCCCAGCCTTACGCTGAAATAAATCAGGCAAATTACTGTTTCAGTCTGTGTGTGTGCAGATAAGCCGTCATTTATTAACATGCAACTTACACCTCCCCGCAACGTTTCAACACACTCCCACACCTTACCTCCAAAACACGGCTCCCCAAGAGGGGAGTGCTAGCTGGAGTGAGCTGTGCAGCCCAGTGCCAGAACACACAGCAACCAGACAAACAACAAGCAGCAGAGGATGAGAATATGCATGTCAAAGCGACTCCGTACTTCCTCCTCTAGCCCACACCTTTCAGGTTCCCAGCACTTCCATTGCATCAGCTTACAGCCAAATTCGTAACAGATTATTAAAAGCTGCACGTTGGCATTAGTGTTTGCATGTCTTGAGTCTGCAGCATGTTACAGAGCTGTACTTTCTGCCTGGCTGCAGAGTTCAGCCCTGCTCTCCTCCCCCGCACTCTTAACTGTGTGATTTTTTTCAGTACGTGCCTGCAAGGCTTTGGGACTGGCCTGCCTTAGCCCGAATTTGTATAAAGAGTCTCTTGGAATCCAGCTAAGGTTAATGAATCACATCGTATCAGCTTCTATCAGCCATTGCAACATACTTCAGAGCATATTCCCCTTGGTCTTCAGAAAAAGGGCCAGTACCGGGCTTGCCTATCCACACCCGTGGATCGCCAGCCTTCTCCAAAGAAGGCAAGAGAAACTGGGAAGCTCAGTGTAATGTGGAGCCATCTGGGCAAAAGGGAAACTGAGGGAGGTACCTGGAAACCTGGAGGAGAAGGACAGCCAGTCCCAGCAATGGCCAGGGAAATGGCGCTCTCAGCCCAGAGGATGCAAAGCTCTTCAGCAGGCTGAAAGCAATGTTCAAGCAACACAAACTACCCAGCCAGTGGTAAAAGAGAATAAAGAGGATAAGAAAGATTGCAGATCTCCTTTGCGTGCAAAAGCACGCTGATATTGATCCTCTGGGGGTATCTTAGCGCCGTAGAAAGCAAAGCTTTTGGCTGTCATAGCTGCTCTGATGTTCTGCTGCAGGAATGTTCAGTGGCAGAAGCTACTGAACATTCAGAAGCGTCACGGTGACTTATCTGATTAGAGAACTTAAGGCAGTTTTAAGGTGGATTGCTTGAATTGGTTTTGGTGGTTGATGAAATGTAAGATTCGCTCAAATGAAAATGTTAAGAGTGGCGATGTAAAAATAAATGCCAATATCTTTTGAGAAAGTGCATTTTTTACTCCAGTACGGCTGATTATGATCATAACATAGCAGGGCCAAGGGCTGAAAATTACAGCATCTTGACAGAGACTTTTTAACAGATCCCTATTCTGTAGTAAAGAGGAGTCAAGAAATGTTGTCTCCCACAGAGGCAAGGCCCTGAAACAATTGGGCATAGCCTTTAGAAGGAGCAGTGTGTCCTTATTCCCACAATGTTCAGAGCTTTCTGGAAACCGGGAACTGAAACTGGCTGGGGTGGTAACAGCAGGATGGCTGGCATCAGTTTGCCTTGGTGAGAAAAATCATCACGCTGCTCTCCTCGAGTTTCTGTTGTTTGGCTTGATAAACCGTGCCTGGGAACTCAGTCTGGGAAAGATGCTGAACCATAAACCAACCAAAACAGAGTTTTGCAAAAAAAGGGCAGGCAACCTGGCAGCTAAGTACTCCTCATGATTTGTTAAGGGTGGGGCATTTCTTTCACCTCGTTGTACTTACTCATAGTCTAACCCAGCCAAAGGCATTGTCCTGCGTCTCTGCTAAAAAAAAAAAAATGGTTTTTACATCAGTTAATAGTATCATAAACTTTTCCCATTTGGAATAAAATGGAGTTGCTAGAAGAAAACTCATTTAGAACTAGAGAGAGAAAGAGCAAATCTAAAATAGGAATTCATGAATAAAAGGATGAAAATATTTTACCTGAGAACAGCAAGTGAAAATGAAAAAGACAGACAAACTGAAAATTAGGGCTACAGGCCCTGGAAAAGATTTACTAGAACTCCAGTAGTTAAGAAAAGAAAGAAGGTGAGGGTCGTAAGAAAGACTGATATTCTGAACACATGTCTAACTTTTCTTCTTGTATCTGAAGTTATTTTCAGATTAAGCTGGACAACTTTGTGGATGTCTCTGTGGATCCAATTAAAAGTTTGGGTTTTAACTACCTTCAGCCTGAAGGGCTCATCTGGAAAGAAACAGAGTAGCTGCAACTCTCATGGTCTCTGAAGGAGCTCAGCAGTGTTCAGCCCTTCTTGGGGCAGGGATGACAGCACTCTGGGGCCTTGCTGAGAATCACTGGTGTTGACTTCCAAAAATCAGGTATTTATTGTTCCCTATGCAATGGTAAATGAGGCATTGTCTCACCTGAGCTCTTCCTTGGGGTGACAGTGGCTGAGACACTCCACCTGGGGACATCATTTGTTTTTGCTTAATTTGTTCTGATGCAACTGCAGCCATTGGGAGAAAAGCCAGAAAAACTCATTGTCTTATGAAGCTCTCCACAGGAGACACCATCCCAAGCTGATGCTGCACACACTTCATCCCCAATGTACTCAGCTACTACTCATTTCATCCTCCTCCTCCCATCCCATGTTTGGTCATCTAGAATAACATTTTTCATCCGTGTCACTTAGAAGCCCAAAGCTCATTTTCAGAATAGTGAGGTAAATAACTATTAGGCCAACGTGTTTTTCTGAAGAAGCTTATTTAAGAAAATAAACTCTGGAAACCAGCATCCCAGACTAAATATACAAACTCCAGATGAACTGGAGCTTGTTTAGACAGAAGAACTGTGGTAGACAGTCAATATGTGTGGTCAGAGACTGCAGATGGGATGTAGGATCCATTCTAGCACTGAACTCTCAAGTTTGTTTCAAGCTGTGTTTCAAGAAAGTCAGTGGACGTGAAAGAAAAGAGCAATCTGTCCCTAACTGTAGAAAGAATCTATGTTTTAGAAAACATATATACAGCGGCTTGCTGGACTGGATGGCAGGGGAGCAGGTGCTCAGTCAAAGAGCCATCCAGCTGTTGCCTTCAGCATTCTTTAGCATCATTTCCACTTATTGTCTCACACAATGTCTCACACAATATCTACTTCTATTATTTTTTCTCTTGTGTTCACAACATCTCTAAATTCTTACATAACATAAGAGCAAAAGCTGAAACATCTCAGTGAGAATTCAGCAAACTATTCTTGGTACAAAGCCCAGCATTGCATCACCACTGTAGAATACAGGATGAGATGCAGTAAAATGTTACTAGTCCAGATGTCCAGGAACACAGAATTACAGGAAATAGTTTCAAGACAAGTGGATGCAAGAGAGAAAGACTTCAAACAGCTTTTCTGCATGAGGACCTGCTAGAGATAGGGGAAAGACTTACCAGCCTGCAAGGACCCCTGTCTATAGATATGTCATATATTTAATATTTTCATTGTGCTTCTTGGGTGACCAAAGCCCTTATCTGAAAGGAAGCATCACATGGCACAACAGAATCATGAACTGCTTGGAGGAACAAGAGAAAGAAGAGGACAGTAGGTCACAAAGGACAAAAAACAGGCCCTTATCTACTTCTGTGAGTCTCAGTGAAGATGTGGCAGTAAGAGAGGACTCATGCTTGACTGAGGTCTCTGGAAATCCCAGGAGTTGCACTTGATCCTTGTGGGGTCCTTTCCAACTCAGGATATTCTGTTCTATTCTATTCTATTCGATTCTATTCTATTCTAGCGTGGCACCTTGCGTTTTATTGCTGGCAAATGCCCTTCAGCTGTCAGAGTCCTGAACCCTGCCCTGGGCTGGGGAACTGTGGCCAGGCCTACAGTTATCAAGAGACCACACTCATATTTACATGTTGGTTGACCACTACAATAGATCTGGGTCTTGGATGGCTGTTGTGAAGCCTGATACCTCGGTGCCCCTAATGATTTCCAGTCTCATGGATCTATTTGGTGCAAAGGCTTTTATTCTGAAATAAGCTGCTTGTTAGAGCACATGCTAGCTGATCTGCATATTTATGCTTTTTCCTTTATATTCAGACACTGAGAAGAGCTTCCTCCATATTCAGTTTTAGCAACTTTCTTTTATTAGCAAAACCTAATTTTCCCTGATTAGGGAACACAGGCTGAAGACCCTGTGACAGCCTGAGCAACAAACCAAGCTAAGTACTCAGTAGTTCTTTCAGGCTGATGAATGGGAAATATAATGAAACTGCATCAAGTGGATGTGATTCCATAATATTCTCCAGTGCTACCAAAGTCTGACTCACAGAAACATAAGAAACCAGCCTGGAACACCCAGCCTCCTGCTCAGAGCTGGAGTATCACTGGCACTGCATCCCATCATAATGGATTTTTCTTATGGAGTCCTGGGAGCCTCCAAGGCTGGAGACTCCTTCACCCCTCCACATGTCAGTTCCACTACTGAGCTGCCTGTTGGGGAAAAATTTTCTGAATTTCTAACCAGAATCCCCTGAGATGTGATTTACAGCTACTGACCATTACTGTTGGTTTAATGGAGCTGTAATAAACCTCTGGTATTTGGGACTGGAAGTATGGGAGCGAAGGGAAACAGGACAGGAAGGAGGAAAAACAAGATTAGTGCATCAAGAGAATGTTGGAAAAAGCCTCTTAGCACAGCATAGAGTAGCTTCACAGAGGTTACTAGATGTAACTTCACAGAGGTTGCATCTTCAGAGCAGACAGTTCAAATGGGCTGCAGATATGAAAATTCTTCAATGTTTAAATGCCAGCTGGAAATATCCAACGAAACTCTTCAATATTTACATGTTCTTAAAAGCTGATTTTATTTGTTCTAGGCTTTGATGGCAAAGAGGAGCCTTGTGCTGCCCAAAATTTGGAACAATGTTAATGTTGCATAGGTTAGGTCACTGAGATAATAATCTTTATATGTGTTTCTCAACACCAATGGACACTAAAATCAGAACAACAACTTAATTGGAATTAAGTAATGTATATTGTTGTATCTAAGAATTAAATTTTTTTTCAAGATGCTCAAACTAAGGCTTTACCCAGGTTTTACCTAAGATAGAGAAAAAATACCCATATTTTTCAAATCACTACTATGGCTTGGAGAAACCACAATCTCATTTTGGAAGCTCTATGGCTATTCCCAGAAGTGCAGTTGCTTTCCCAGACAACAACCTTCCTACAGATTTTTCTTTTTAAGCATTCATATTAGACTTAATAATATCCGCTTTGTACACAAAAGTTGAGGACTGTGGAGCTATGGAAATGCCTGTATGACAGGT